GTGGAGAAGGCGGGTGGCGCGGGAAGGGGCTCCCCGGCGGGGAGGCGGCGGATGCGGGCCTCCTTCCCCCCCTGCCCCTGGGCGGGTGCCATGGCCGCCGGCCGTTGTGGCGGTGGGGGGCGGCGGGCCTGGGCCGGCGGAGGGCGAGCCGGCCGCCCAAGGTCAGTCAGTGGCCGCGGGCTATAAATAGCGGCAGGAGGGAAGCGGGACCGCTGCCGTGTGGGCCGGGCCGGCGGGGAGCGATGGGCCGTGAGCGGCGACGGGACGAGGCGGGAGGGGAGGGGACGGGGACGGGACGGCGCGTTAGTGGCTGGCGGGATTTCAGGCCAATAGCCTTTCCCTCCGCCGGCGGCCACCTGCCAGGCAGGGCGGCCCTGCCAAGTCCCCCGTGGGCCTGCCCCGAGCCCCCCTGGGCCGCCGTCCCTCTGGGGGTGACTCCCGTGGGAGCTGGGGTGTGAGTTGCTTGTCTGGTTCCTCGGGGCGCGGGCTTCAGAGCAGCGGTGTGAAGGGAAGGTGGCCTTGAGTCACTGAAATACGATCTCGAGGTCAGCCTGTAACGTGAGACTTGTCGCCTCAGTTTGGTAGCTGTCACGCTCGGCTTGAAAAAGAAGTTGATTTTCTTTTCTAGCTAGGAAGAAAAGGTGGGTAGAAATTATCATCTCATGGCTTCTGGCAGTCGACCAGACTTAAGCTGCTGAGTTTACATACCTTTTGTCTAGTGTCATTAATAACTTCTGTTGTTTTTACGTGTGCGGCAGGGATTCCATACGTGGCAAGGAGTCTGCTGTGAGGTCTGGGCAAAATGGCGAGCCTTCTGCGGATTGCTGTTAGCGGGTGCTCAACCCCTGTTTTTGGCAATGTGTTACCACCCAAGGTGCATTCTGCAAAGATGCCATGTTTGCGAATGTTTAGAACCCACCAGGTGCTCAACTCTCAGGCAGCTCCAAAGCCAGGTAAACTAATGAAACTATTGTAAACAATCGCTTGTTTTAAAATGTGAAGATAGCTTGAGTTTTTCTTTCAGATATGCATTAGTACAGAAATGACTGAAAATCAAAATAAGACTCTTAAATCATGTCAGCAGCATACTTGAGTCAGGTGCAGTGCAATTTTATACTGGTTTTAAAGGGCTAATATAGAAGATGTTTGTTATGATTACCTTGGATCCAAATAGCTTTTATGAGTGAAGATCAGAGCTCTGCCTGACAGCTTACTTGTAGGAAGCATTTCAACAAAAGCTTTTCATAGTTAAATCTCCCGCCCAAGGTCAGTCAGTGGCCGCGGGCTATAAATAGCGGCAGGAGGGAAGCGGGACCGCTGCCGTGTGGGCCGGGCCGGCGGGGAGCGATGGGCCGTGAGCGGCGACGGGACGAGGCGGGAGGGGAGGGGACGGGGACGGGACGGCGCGTTAGTGGCTGGCGGGATTTCAGGCCAATAGCCTTTCCCTCCGCCGGCGGCCACCTGCCAGGCAGGGCGGCCCTGCCAAGTCCCCCGTGGGCCTGCCCCGAGCCCCCCTGGGCCGCCGTCCCTCTGGGGGTGACTCCCGTGGGAGCTGGGGTGTGAGTTGCTTGTCTGGTTCCTCGGGGCGCGGGCTTCAGAGCAGCGGTGTGAAGGGAAGGTGGCCTTGAGTCACTGAAATACGATCTCGAGGTCAGCCTGTAACGTGAGACTTGTCGCCTCAGTTTGGTAGCTGTCACGCTCGGCTTGAAAAAGAAGTTGATTTTCTTTTCTAGCTAGGAAGAAAAGGTGGGTAGAAATTATCATCTCATGGCTTCTGGCAGTCGACCAGACTTAAGCTGCTGAGTTTACATACCTTTTGTCTAGTGTCATTAATAACTTCTGTTGTTTTTACGTGTGCGGCAGGGATTCCATACGTGGCAAGGAGTCTGCTGTGAGGTCTGGGCAAAATGGCGAGCCTTCTGCGGATTGCTGTTAGCGGGTGCTCAACCCCTGTTTTTGGCAATGTGTTACCACCCAAGGTGCATTCTGCAAAGATGCCATGTTTGCGAATGTTTAGAACCCACCAGGTGCTCAACTCTCAGGCAGCTCCAAAGCCAGGTAAACTAATGAAACTATTGTAAACAATCGCTTGTTTTAAAATGTGAAGATAGCTTGAGTTTTTCTTTCAGATATGCATTAGTACAGAAATGACTGAAAATCAAAATAAGACTCTTAAATCATGTCAGCAGCATACTTGAGTCAGGTGCAGTGCAATTTTATACTGGTTTTAAAGGGCTAATATAGAAGATGTTTGTTATGATTACCTTGGATCCAAATAGCTTTTATGAGTGAAGATCAGAGCTCTGCCTGACAGCTTACTTGTAGGAAGCATTTCAACAAAAGCTTTTCATAGTTAAATCTCTGCGTTTCCCATACATTTTGCTACTGCAACTCTTTGTGTGCAGGCAGGTGAAAATACAGCCCCCACAAAGACAGCATCTGCAAGCTTGACTATATATCGATGTAATTATCCCATCTTAAAAATCTCTTAACCTTGTTTAGGAAACTTTTGTGTTGTACCACCTTGAAGAACTTTTGATCTGCATCTTCATGTGTAGGGTTTGTTGGCATATTTGCACTAATTCAGTTTTAGAGCAGGTAACAGACAGGTTCAGGTATTTTCAGGGAAAAAAAAAAAACAAGAAGGGGATGAGGGCATCCTTGGTTCTAGTTTATGATGTGAGACTGGTATATGAAAATCAGAAGTGACATTTTTTGCTCTATTGTATCTTGTGCATAGACTGACAGCTCAGCTAGAAGACTGGAGCATACATAAAACTCTCTTAATGATATTTTTGCCCATTATCCTGCAATGGGTCATGTCTTCCTGAAGGAATTTGGAGACCTTGCTTCAGTGCAGATCTAGGGTCTTCCCAGTCTGCGACAGGTTAATGTGGAGTATTAGACTGATTGTACATATCATGTTCTGTTCTTCCCACCATACACAGTAGGTAACTGCATTAGATATTTTAGAGTATAAGAAAATTAGTGGTGTTTGTGAACAGAAGTGTCTGGTTGTGATAACACAGGACACAAGATTAGACTGTATAACTCCGAGAAGCCTTTGTTGGGTGGAATTTCCAGCAATGCTAACAGTGGCTGGAGCACTTCAAGGTCCTTTCAAATCGGTGAGCCAATGTTTTGGAGCCTCTGAAGAAATGTGGAGGAGGAGTTTCTTCACACTGAGGGCCCCTGATAATCTGTACTGCATGGCTTTTTACCGCAGTTGCACGGTGAAACCTGAATTTCTTTACTCTGACTGACAGCCCAGGGATCTAAGGTCTGTCAGAACTGATCAGGTAATAGTTTTGCCATCTTATGAATTGTGGTGCTCCAATTTTTATTTATTTTTTTTTTTTCCATATTAAATACTTGAATGAAAGAGACATCTGTCTGGTTTGGTATGGCAAATTGTCCCTTGGTTGGGAGTGTTAACCTGGGGTGTAGAAAACCAGGTTCTAAGCTCTTTCTCAAATGTCCCAGGTAAGTGCCCTTGTTGTTTGAGTTTGGATCATCTTTTTGTTTGACTTTGACCACAAATTTGATCATGGAACTGAAAGATCTCTTCAGCTTTACTGAAATAAGTATGCTCGTCTGTTTGTGTGTGTGCATTCATTTGTTTTAATGAATCATTTTTCAGAATTTTTTCCAAAAATTCAGATCAGAGAATTCTGATTAGTGTCATGGGTTCAAGCATTCATTGCTGTCCCTTCAGATCTGTCATGTGGAAGCTTTTATTTAAGGGCGAGTAGTATTCATGCAATGCAGTTATTTAATGCACAGAATTACAAGTCTGGTAAGTCTTTTGGTTGATAATTAAGCTGTCGCTTATAGTTCATTTTGGTAACATGAGATTTGTCATTGAGCAGAGGACAAATAAAGGATAAAATGGCCATTGAATGACAAATCAGTAGCAGTACTGTTGCCTGGTACACTTTTACAGCACTCTTGAATTGAAATTTTAGCAGCATATGAAATAACTACATTTTATTCTTAATTTTAGAAATTATCTTTGAATATAGTTACACTTGGTAAAATCACTGTAATACTAAGTAGTCTTTTTGAAAAGTCACAGTAGTTCTTCTTAAGCCTGTAGTTATTACTTCTGTTCTCTCTGATTAGCTTTAATTTAGTCCAGGATATGTTATGTACAAGAATAACAGCTGCATGAGGATTGAAGAGATGGTCAGTTGAACAGTGAACTTGGAGGATTGATACTTTTTGTACTGCTGTTTATTTTGCTGCTATTTTCTTTGTTTCTTAGAAACATGGGAATTTTCAAATAGGAGTAAACAAGTATTCCTGTAGCCTATCTTAGTCACTCAGTAGCACCAGTTGCTTCAGAAACAAATGCAAAACTTTCCCAAGCCCAAGCACCCAAAGGTGCTTACGGAGTGGCCAACTGAGGTTTCCAATACACTGCCAGATGGGTTTGTGCTACAGCTCTGACTTTTACCCCTCTCTGTCTTGGGATTTTTAACGTCCTTTTTATTTTGATGCTTCGTTCTTAAGATATCCTGTTTGTTCTCTAAATCTTGCAGAATTTTAAAATCCGTAACAGTTTATTGTCAGTTAATTCTCTAGATAAGCTGTGCGTTATTTGTAAACCATAGACGTTCTCGCTTAATTTCCATGGGGTTTTTGTATCTCCTTGCTTGTATAAGAAGAAGGATCAGGTGTTTGTTTAATCTTCTGTACCATTCTTTTTTTTTTTTTTT